GCAGGATTCGAACCCGAGACCTGTAGATTACAAGTCAAGTGCTTAAACCACTGAGCCACCGACGCTACCTTCCTACCAACCTACTATGTCTTCTCTATTACAAATTTCCATCTTCCTTATACATCGTAACACACTGTAAACACAACCTAGTAAACGAAGTCGTTCATGTATAAAATCGCTTTAAATATTATACGCTTAAATATCACATTAATAATGCAATGCGCACACGCATGTCAGGGTATCACGATTCGTTAAGAAATCACATCAATCTATTTGCGGACGTCTTCCGTATAACGCCTCACCGCTATGCAGCATGCTGGAATGACGCAATAACATAATAAACTGCCATACTCAGAGTCTACTATGAGTTTACTATGAGAAATCTACACTAAGAGGCAGGTAAGTGATCATTTTTCTGACACTAAGAATTAAGAGTAGTAGGGGGAGATAAAAATGCACATTTAGCACAAATATTTATAAAAATATAGATATATATTACAGACCTAAGCACTTTCAAATTGTATGGTATCAAAATAAATATCTAAGTAACTTAATACAAATTATATTTCAATTGGTTTATAAAACTAGCTAAAACAGTGTATGATTAATATATTTTGAAACAAACGTAGATAATCCTTACAAGGTTGAATGGTTACCGGATAATACACAGCTTCACTTAATGTTTGAAGTCATTCGAGATTAACGCAGATATATTGCATCACGATCCTCGCTCTAATACATTTTCATTAAAATAAAAAGAGAATATGGTCTTCAACATTCACTCTAATAAATAAAAATATCATGTTTTCTGTACCTAAAATCCTTGTATAAAAGCCTCTTTCATGCTGCAGACTTATTAAATCAAAAAGATAACAGACATTGAAAAAAAAAATTTTTAAACCCCCATTACAAATGCACCGACAGACAACGAAAATACTGGCAGTCATAAAACAAAGCGCACTGGCCGGTGATAAAAAACATACTAAATTCATTCGAAATTTGAATGAGGCCTCTCGCTATTCCATTATGGCGGGGCACGAGCGTTATTTCCCGCACTTTTTTCAACGCCTCTTTTTAAAGCCGTATGCACGCGCATAACTTATAAAGTCCGGCAAAATTAAAAAACACATTTCATATATCATAAGCTCACATAAAATGTATCCTATTCACGTATTCGTATAATGCGTCTGGATAGAGTAATAAACACAAGAGCGTGCCGATGTTTTGCGTTAAGTGTTATTACATTGCCCGTCTGGCAGGCATCTCAATTAGCGGATTCAATTAGAAAGAATAATGTAACACATGAATGCGTACATTTGCGTATTACTGTTATAACGTAAAAATTAAACAATGTATATGCGTATATTAAATTCGAAACAGCCAACAGAATATATTAATAAAACAGTAAACAATATTACAAAACATTTTTCACAGTCCTGGAATCAAATCTAAAACCCCTGACTCATAAGTAACTAAGACCGCTAGATCCTCATATCTTTATGTACCTAAATACGTCAATATAGTCTGAAAGCTAACGGATGCAAGTTCAAATAGTTATCATGTTGATTTATGCGCTAAGTATCGTGTTTGATTTGCATTCTCTAGGAAATCACGGTATCAGTGTCAACCGAGCGTCGGCGTCTCTTTGTCATTATTTATTAAAGTCTATTATACATGATATTATTAAATAAAGTGATAACAAGATGATAAAATATGCTAGATATAATTCTGGGTAATAGGGTTAGGAATAGTATTGTTGTAAAACATATCACATTTACATAAAACGAAATGACAATTCCGAGCAAATACAATTTACGATAAAAGACAGAGCAGCGATGTTGTCTGGAGATTTGACGATAAAAGTAGAACTATGAATATGAAAAATATTTCATAGACAATAACTATGATCCAACCAATTTATGTCGAAAAGAAAACCTTCAAGAATTATTACTTGTAGGAAATTTTCTTTAGGTACATAAAGCTATACATTTTATTAGATAGAGGATGTTCAAAGTTTAACTGGATTAAAGTCAATCGAGCGTATTGATTAAGCCCCAAAAGTCTGTCGTAAGTGTTCCCAAAGGGAAAGCGAACTTAATACGGGAGTGCGACAAGTTAAAGGCGACTTAAGGCGGATTACATACTATATACACTGTTTCTAAACTGCTACTAATTTGACTAGATACTGACTATCTATTTTAGTAACAATCCAACATATGCGAAGGTTATTCAAGTACATCATTTTTTTATCATGTATGGATCAGCGCTTGACCACGATCCCACCTAGGCCAAAGTGAAGATGTGGTCGAAGGATACTACGCGCTAGTTCAGTTAGCTCACACCATGAATTTAAAAAATGCTGCTAATTCTGTCTATGCCATTATCCGTTTACCAGAGAACTTAAACATCTCAGTGAACAATCTCATTAATGTAATGAATAACAACGAGCCGCTGGCTTATCATTCATCATACAATAAAACAAGATATTCCAAATCGCGTGCAGCATCCGGCGCCGGCCAAGTAATAACTCCCAGCAGCTGAGGACATAAACACGTCATACAAGATCTGCCGTCCACCACAACCGCAATCATATTTTACACAACTCAACTTACACTTATTAATATTTAAACATCGTCTGATTAAGGCCTTGTTACACTACATGTGCTATTATTAATTTCTTATAACGTTCCTCTATTTAAAATTAAAGCTGCCAACATCACTAGAAGGCACTTAATTCACACCAGCGAAGACATCGATGATATAACCCTAGCCCGAATTACACAATATTCAAACACGAAGTGATAACCCTAGCTAGATGACATAGCTGCAGAACCTGAAACAAATTCGAAAAATCAAAAACCCTACGTTCATTCGGTAAATCTATGGTAGCTATTTTCTTATCATATTCACTATACCATCAGCTACACTATCAATAAAGTTGTAACATTTTATTATACGTTCGACATTCGGCGACCTTCGTACGAAGGCTTACTCGAGTCAGATAAGATAATCCTAAATTGGATACGTGTACTGAATCCGACAACTCCGGCTCTGGTGGGCCGGGACTTGGAAATTCAGATGTTTCAGCATTAAATAGCTGCTTAATACCCTCCAGCATTCCCTCTGACTAATTTTATAGATGGTACGTTTTATGTTTTACATACATTACAGTTGGCGTAACAACTACATAACGAAAATGTAGGATTATTGAAGTTGTGTTTATAATCATCGACATACTCTGGCGGTGTTGGTTTCTAAATCTCTTCTAGTATCTGTCAATACTATATTTGTCCATTAACATAATGAAAAGGTCATCTATTTTAATCTAGTCTATCGATATACTGGCTCCCTCTAGTCAAATATATGTATATCAACGAAGATATTAGAGTTAAAAGCAGCGTACAGGGAGGAGTGGCGGCGTCTTGTAAAGCGGGTCACTGATACGTGATAACCACGACGAGTCTGTAAAGACTCAAGCGACAAAGAAGAAGAAGAAGAAGAATTAGAGTTGTTTTTATGAAAAATGTAGCCAATATTATTAGTATTAATTTCTAAGACACATCTTGCCTATGAAGATGTCCCACCGCAAAGAGCCCACATCTAAAGCGGACAAGGGCGTCTGAGTACCTACAGTTACGTCGAGAGAGCGTGTCCGAACACACCTACTTGGCGTTCTTAGAAAAGTCTAAGATTACTTTCTTCCATACTTTACGTTCTACGCTCCGTCAAAACTTTCATATAATGTAAGAAATATGGCGTCAACAAGCGCTGTAGACATACAGAGCATGTCTTGAATTTATTTATGTTATAATTTTGTTGTTTCTGGTTAGCACATTGCTCTGTACAACTATAAGTGTGTGCATGCCTGAAACTAAACTATCGCATAACTGTTTAGTCTCGTTTAGATTCCTAATGAGATTATATGGAGGTTGTGCAACTAAACAGTTGAATTAGATACGAAACAATCGACAATCGCACAACTGTTGTACGATTGTCGATTGTTTAGTTTAGTCCAAGGTGTGTGCTCTAAAGGATATCGCTCTCGACAAATCTTTACCTTGATTAACTCTTTTGGTAAGTAAATTAGAAATGTCTATAATCAATCACCCTCTATAGTCAGCGCTTTCGTAGAATACCGTTCTCAAGTAACATAAACTTCTAAAATATAATACACATTATATTTCAGTGTGTACGTCGCGTCGGAGCCCGGAGGGAACTTCAAACAATGGAGCTAACGCCCGTGCGGTATTGTCTAGTCTAGACCACATTTAAGGGCTGTCAATTAGGGATAATATTTTCAATGTATAGCTACTATTTGTCTTAGATCTCATTGTGTTTCTTAGCAATATACCTAAGTTTTTAAGTCAATAAAAAACGTTTAAAAAGTATAGCAGTGTTAAAAACATTGCAAAGAATAGAAAATGTTAAGTATCAATCTTTACATTAAGACTCTGAGATGCTATTTCAACGAAAAAAGAAATGTATTCATAAAATATAATAGAGGTAGCAGTTAACAAATGCCTATAAACAATTTTTTTTATTAACAACCCTTTTTTAAGAGGAGGAAAGCGTTACGCATCTCAGGTGTCTAAGCGAAAGACACATAGGGTATGTGAGATTCTGTCCACATCCCTGCCCCAATGGAAAATGACGTGGAGCCTACCCACTAAATCCCCTCTGGTTCCTTCGTCTTCACTGTTCACCGGGGCATCGACACTTTTATATTCATCACATACCATTATCAACAACCCTACACTAACATTCATACGTCATCAGACGCGTAAAAAACGTTGCAGCATTGTGCGTCGTATGCGTAAACGACACCTAGCAAGAGCTGCATTAGCGCAGCTCAATTGTTATGTAACTACGCGATGCGTTCAGAAAACGTATTGTACGGAACTGTATCCATCACATCCGACTTAAAGTTGTGTATTTTAGAATAAGGTTATAGAACGTTTTAGAACATAGACTATTCGACATTTTTAAACAGAAAATCTTACCTCTATAGTATAGCTGTCAACGTACCTGTTAACAAAAAAAAAAGTTTAATTTGCAATAAAAAATTGATCGTCATTTTTAAATCAAAACCTAAAAATATTGTAGAATTTCCAAGTATATGAAATAATACAATCTCCGTAAACTTTTAACGGCACTAACTTTATAATGATAATAATTTTTATCTAACTCAGTAACAAGTAGGTCACCATCACTTCAGCATACAAATAGCTTGTTTAGTTCATAATTTTACAGTTAGCAACAAACTACAACTAACCGTAAATTCCAACCAGCGATGGTAATTTCGCTTTTAATTACAATTAGTACAAATTTCAGACCGCAGCTGCAATGAATAATTAGAAACGTGAAAAAAGCTTAATAAACCTTACCAGTGGTTAACTAAAGCTCTAAAAATGACCTCGCTTCTAACCATTTAAATATTACAAAATTGGTGTGCGACCTCTAACCGCCTCACTAACAATGGGAATGAATTAAAAGGGTATTAAAATGTACCACTTGAAATATACAATTTTCTTTTACCTAACTCATTAGAGAATATCTAAAATTATAAAAGAAATCATTCGCTTAATCTTAATGGTGACATTTAACCTAAAAATTTTAAGAAAATTATTCCGACTCACGATAAAAATCCTTACAATAAGCAGGCAGATATTTATAATTATGAAACATTAGCTTTCGCCCGCGTCTCCGTCCGCGTGAAATAAAGAAAAAACAAAAGTGAATAGCCTATGTGTTCTTCCAGACTATCCTCTACAACTATACCAAATTTCATCGAAATCCGTTCAGCCGTTTAGGCTACATACTTAACAAACACCCACCCATCCATCCATCTAAACTTTGGAATTTATAATATTAGTATGAAGTATGATTTATATAGCTTAACATTATTTATTGGTAAATCAGGAGATAGAATAAAACAGTCTCTTCCCGCTGTCAGTCTGTCCGTATGTTACCTATGCCTAGATCTTAAAAAGTTCGCAACAGATTTTGTTTGCTATTTATAATAGATAGAGGGATTCAAGAGTAAGGTTTATTGTGCAATAATAATTATAGGAAAGAAATACTGATAATTTTAAAGGTTTCTAATGTGATGTCATTAGACTCGTGCAAGGTCGCTAGTGGTAAAAATTTGAAATTTAAAAAACAAGCCTCCATGTCTCATAATAAGAAAAAGGTGAGAAAAAACAAACATTATCTGCGATACAATTTAAGAATTAGATGTAATTTTTAAAGCTAACCAGTAAGCTTTCACCTCATACCAATCAATCACATAATTTAATCGAATTAATGTTCGAGGGGGAAAATGTTGGTGGTCTTCCGTCGCTTGCGTCTGGGGAGAACGACCGCATTAGTATTGAACATGTACGAATACATAAAATACATCAAAATATCTAGATATATCAAACAGTTAAGATACATCTATAATAAAGCGTAAACACACACTTCTTTGTTGCTTTAGATGTCAGCAATTACAGGACATTTTTGAATAATTATTTTTTTAATAAAAAGCCCTACACTTACGTCACGCTTTAGGCTATATATTTTCACGCCATTAAACTTGGAGGGTAAATATTTTGGATAAAATCTTAATGTGGGATAGAGACCCATAAGTTGCTGCCAACATCAAGGAAGCGAGATTGTCAAGGTTTGTCATGTAATGACATTTTGACATTTGACACATTTAAACAATAAAATAAAATTTTCATAATTCTATGCGGATGAAGTCGCACGGGAACAGCTAGTTATTTACAAAATACTTGAATCACAAAATGAAACCCGTTGAAAATAAAAGCTTACATAATCGAATCTGCAGTCTACTTGCGACACATTTTTTTGTGGCTGATTTGTCACTGTTTGCCTTGAAGAGGCATTTACAGCTTCACCGGACTTGAGGTGGGCGAGCGCAGAAAGCGCTTAGCCTAAACCTCTTTACTTGCAACCATTTCATATGTTTTAGTATGCGAGAAATGTACAAGTGTAATCGCAATAAACTATTATTCGATCAGTTTGTAATCCTGCCAATATAACATCAAATAAATAACATGGAATAAAGATACAAACTGACAGACGGCAAAATATATTAGCACTCATTGAGAATTATAGCCGATCATTATCAAGTTCAAACAAATACTTCCTGCTATATTTTACCGTAGGAATATCCACCATTAACATGGTTACCTCATCTTGGATTTACTGCGGAAATATAAAATTCTATCAAAGAAAACACGTCCCCAATAGTTTTACCACACGTTCAGGAAATCCGGGACACTTCCGATACCAGTTTTCAGATTTCAGTTCAAAAACGTAACGAAATATTTTTATGAATATAGTAAAAGGGGAAAAGGTTAAACTGTGTAAAAAATCCAATAAAACAACAAATGTCATAGATAACTTTTATTCTGGCTACATACAATTGAAATACAAGTCACCTTTGCAAGTTACAATAAATTTAAAAAGTTTTCGGATTTAGCTCTTTTTTCAATATGTTTAAAAAGAAAAGCGATATCACTTATATATTTTCGTTATCTTTCGCAGATATTCCCGCTGTAATAATGGCGAACCTACACCCAACAGTGGCATCGTACTAGGCCAGCAGCGATCTCTAGAGGCGGCAACTAAAAATAAAGGCCTACATATCTGTATCGATTCCAGGAACAATAGCCCTGCGGACGATACCCCGAGTGCGGACGAGCTTTCAACTAATTGCTGGCCGCGTGTTGCCTTCACGACTGTTCAAAGACATCATACGACATGTTATGAAGTATGAAACATATTTACATAACAGTAACAGTCAATATTTGTCTCTGTGTTATAATAAGGGACACATAATTTAAATAGAATCGAAACATAAATGACTTACATTTAAAAGACATAAAAAACACACACACATAAAAATCATTCTTGACTACAATGACCAAATACATCAAAGTCAAATGCTCGAATTAAAGACAGAAATCATCCCCATCATAAGCTTTTAAATCAGCATTCACTACCCTATTGTCCCCATGAAAAGCACCCCATTGTAAAAGTCACGTTCGCTTACACAAAATTGCGTTTATTTTATCTACTTACGATAAATCAATAGAGCTGATAAACCCACAACAATTCATGTCACGAAGTGGACCACATCCCGGTGGATTTTCAATATAATCTACCAAGTATATATAAAAATTCGCTTCAACTCAATAAAAAAAGTTCACACGTCGACAACTTCCTGTTCCAGGAGGAAGTATTTTTTAATTTTCTTATAACATTTCGAGGAACCAACGACTAATCACCTACATATCAAAAAGTATTTTAACCAATTACATTTATACAGACAATTATAACCTCGTCCTGGTAAACAATATCATCATCATCATCATCATCATCATCATCTCCTTAACGCAACAGGTTTTTGTCCTCCACATAACTCTACCATACGTTATCTCAGTCATCACTCCCTTTTTGATCATGTCACCTTTTACACAATCCATCCATCTCTTTCTAGGTCTACCTCTACCGATGTACCCTTCCACACTCATAACTAACGTTCTCCTTGTAACATGCGATTCATCCCTTCTCATAACATGCCCATACCATGCTAACCTTTTACTCCTTACCTTCTCTACTACGGGGGCTACTCTCAAACTTCCTCTAATATACTCATTTTGTATCTTATCAATTCCATTACTGGTAAACAATATCAAATTAAAATTACGCAACAGTTCTAGACTTAAAGCGTGCGCACCTGAAAATAAACTATCGCACAACTGTGTGATCCCTATGAGGTTATATGGTGGGAGACGCTCACACTATTCGATTTTTAGTTGTTTTACATTTATTAAACAGTTGAATTAGCTGCGAAACAATCGCACAACAGTTGTAAGATAATTTAATCAGAGATGTGTACGCGCTCTTAATATCCAATACATTCCACTGAAACATTAGTCAACCAACGTCTACGATTTTTATTCTCGTAGTTTCTGTACTGTGTAACGTCTTTTGTAATTCATATTGCATCTACTAGTTATTAACACAAAGTTCTATCGTATTAACACGTCTTAACAAAGATGAAAGAGTGGTAGAGCGCTTGTCACTCATTATTCAGTTCGCAAGCACTGCTGAATGCTTCAATCGTTAACAGAAGCACATCAGACGCCCGCGATGATTTATAGACACGTACGAGTCTGTAACGGGGACTTTGCTAATTGGATTGTATATTGTTCCTTTTTGTAACAAGCATGCGTAGTGTTGTGCTCATATCGAATATATTTTAGTGATGTGTGTAATTATATCGAAAAAAAAATTACAGTTTGCAAGAGATTTTTTGTCTTTTGCAAATTCTATATCTAATGTATTCCTACTTTTTAACATAGTATATACTACCTTTCGCCCGCGACTCCGCTCGCGTGGAAAAAAACGAAAGTGTATATCCTATGTGTTCTTCCAGACTATCCTCTACGTCTATGCCACATTTTATCGCGATTCGTTCAGCTGTTTAGGCTACAAATTCTAACAAACATCCATCTAAGCTTTCGCATATATAGTATTAGTAAGAAGTAAGATAGCCATTTGGTGATAAGTAAATAATATTAAGAAAAAACTATATTTTCTCAGTAAGGAAAAATAGTAAAACAATAGTTATTCTATATCGAAGTAAAAACATTTTATCGAACATCAAGTAAAGTGGAACAATCTAACTTAGTTGTGTAGTTGTTAGTTACAGAGCGCACTGTAATAAACTGTCGCAATCTCAAAGTTTCAGTGGCATCGGTAGGAAATTGCTCACAACTTCCACGCCTAATACATTTATATGAAACTGTTAGAACTTATAACCGTGAATTTCCACTGCATGTACAAAAATACATACGAATAACAGTTGAATATACATAGATATTATCACTATTTATTTTAAAAAACCAGAAGGATGACAATAAAATTATGTACAGGGTATTGGAAACTCAAGGATTATTTGTTCCTTTAAGCAGAATAAACTCTATAATGTTTTTCTGTATTAAAAATAAATG